GAAAGGTCAAGCACAGCCTCTGGCAATGCAAAACGAAGCTGATAAGGATGAAATAAGCCTTTCCAACACTCTGTCTCCAAAGAACTATCTGGAGAGGTCCATTATTGATCAATGATTCCATCACAGATTCTAGTAATTGCCCCAAGGCTTAAGAGGGTTCCACTGTCCTCCGTCAACTGCACCACCACTTCTTGCCCTCCCTCTTGGAGCCCTGGGTGTCCATTTCAGTGGGGAGCAGTCAATGGTGCCACCTTAGAATGGGAGCAAAGCTGTGATGATACAATGGGCAAAAGATGTGGGACATAATATACAAATAGTTACAGGTAGGTAGCCGTGTTGGTCTGCAGTAGTCGAAACAAAATAAAAATATAATTTTTTTGTATCTGAAGAAGTGTGCATGCACATGAAAGCTCATACCAACAGCAAACTTAGTTTGCTAGGTGCTACTGGAAGGAATTTTGTTATAATATACAAATGACAGACTGGGAGAGGCTGTGGAAAATACTGAAATTTACGGCATGTTCTTTATTGAAAGAATATTATATGAAAATGATGTACCAGTGGTATTTGACCCTGGTAAAACTAGCAAAAATGTATAGAATATGTACCAATGTATGCTGGAAATGTAAGGAAAAAGAAGGTACCTTTTATCATATGTGGTGGAACTGTAATATAACTTTAAAATTTATGGGAAATGATATATAATGAAATGAAAAAAATGTTTAAAATAACTTGTTAAAAAACTAGAAGCATTTTTATTAGGAATTATAGGTGCCATGATCCCAAAAGACCAGAGGAAATAGTTCATGTATGCTACAATGGCCGCCTAAGATGTTACTAGCCCAGAAATGAAAGAGACAGCCCGGGCCAGAGAAGAATGGCAAATCAAGTTGATGGACTATGCCGAAATGGCAAAACTAACTGGGAAGCTCAGGAACCAAGAAGACAAGAATTTTTTACATATGAACTCATTACAATGGTTTACTGGAGCCTGACAAGTCTACAGTCTAATACGGTAGGTCTCTAGCCAGACTTTGGCCCCCACCATGATGTAATTAACTGAGAGAGACCATTTCCTGCACTGGATTTTTTAGTATATCCTGCTGCTCAGACGATAATAGTTCAAACTTGATTATATTACAAGAAAAAGAATTGTGAATGTGTAAATTAAGGAGGAGGTGGGCGTGGATGAATAATATATACCAGTAGCCAGCCTAGGATATGAAGCAATTGGTTAGTTAGCCCATGTTACACCCAGCTCTTTTGCAGACTTAGAAAAGAAAAGGAATTAGGAAGCTCTAGCCATAGAGCACATATATTGGCTATGGGTTTAGTCCAACTGAACTGATTTAAATCCATGTATCTCAGGTTTGATGGACATGAACTGGGCTGGCATGTGACAATACTGGGGGGAGAGAGAGAGAATGTGGCTGTTCAGTCATGTGAGGTTACAGAAGTAGATTTTGCATAAGGTGCTCATGGCCATTGGAATACCTAATATGTGACGGTTTTCTGAGCATTAAGTTACATACTGCTCGGATGAACTGGTATGGCGATAGCACCGTAGCAAACAATGCCTTCTAAATATTTTTCTCAAGAGGCACCAATTCATTGCAAAGATGCATATTTTAACTCCAAATTCACAAGTGCAGCTTGACACCCATCAATCACATTGCCTCCATTAGTATCCTTTAAGGAAAGAAACACCCCCTAAATCCCATCAGCGTTTCAGTTTTACAGTACCTTACATCTGCATGTGGCAGCGCCATTATCCATTTCCATACATAAAATAAAATAGGCAAAATATGCACAGCCAGTCATTTGGATCAATGGGAAATGGAGACAGCACTTCTCCTGCCCAAGCTCATGGCATGGCCTTCACTACGAACAATATCAGAGCCATCACAGTCTCTTGCCACCACAGGGTGCCTTACAGATAGATGAGTAAGAAGCAGTGCTTTATAGCTACCACCTGCAAATTTCACAGTGCTGGCAAGTGCGCTGTACTGCTGTACTAGAACAGGATAATTGCTGGAGACAGAGTTGGCAAGAACAGTAGATGGGAGATATGTTCAATTGCACATGAGTATAGTAGGTGAACTGTTAAAATAAAGACCTGCCATTAAATGCTGAGCAGCTGGCAAATCTAGATAATCTGTTTTGGTTGCTGCAGATAGGGTAAAAAGTCATCAACTAATACGTTTTTAAAATATGTTTCATTTGTATGATAATAGGCTCTCATTCTAACTCGTTCAAATACCCATAACAGAGTGGCTTGGACAGAGACCATAACAAAGTTATGCAGAAGCTTTTGCTGAGCAGTACACCAAACTTTTTGAAATCTATTTTTTTTAAAAAAACAAAACCCTGAAATCGAGGCTTCTTATGAATGCATATACGGACAGTGACAATGTTCACCAAGAATGCAAAGTTTCTACACTATAGCACCAGGGACAGCTCAGTACATGCAATAGGAAATTTGTTCTTGAATGTGCAGGAGTTCTGTGCTGTTTTACGTTTAGAAACTGTATTTAAAACAGTGGTGCAATTGTCCAATGCTGCAATGCAGCCATAGGTGTAGAAAGACTGATTCTGGTACCACCTAGGGCCATGTCTACCATTAAGCAGAGTGAGGTGGCCACCTAAACTGGCTGTTGCTGCAGAGCAGAGTTAGACAAAGTTATATGTCAAGCAGCCTACCCCTCGCTCCCTTCTGCTAACCTGCTGCTTTCAGGTGTGCTGGAGAATTCTGTCCCTTTGCTGGTGGTGAAGTGAGGTTCAACCATTCAGCAGCTGTACATGGAAGGAAGGGAAACATCATCTTCTCCTTTGCCTTAAGCAACAAATGTCCTGGGCCGGCCCTGATAACATCCCATTTAGACGTCTGCAGTGTCTGGTACTGTACATAGGGCTCTTTCTGGTGATTGTTCAGAAATGTAAGTTGGCCCCTTCTTTGTTTTCAAAGCAAGGTCTTGCTTTATTTCAGTACACATTTGTTTAGCAGGAGCCATCATATCACTATGTATCTTATGCTTGCTGGGCTTATGTGGTATCTCAGGACTCAGCTAGATTAGAAAAAGGGAAAGTGTTTTATATGTGTTGTATATGCATTATAACCCAGATGGCGCTGTGAAGTTCTGTTTTTGCCCATCCGATTTCTCATACAAAGTTTACAACGTGTTTTCCTGAAACATTTCTTTGATGCGTCTAGATCCAGCCTCAGAGCTGTCATTCCTGCTACTGTTAACGTGCTAAAATTGTTTTATTATTATTATCATTCTGCATGCCACCTTGAATATGCGTCAACGTAAAAAGATGGGATACAAATAAGATTGCAGCAGCTAACCGAACAATGTTCTTTTACTTGGTGTGGGTGGGTGTGGGTGGGTGTGTACACACACGCACACGCACACACACACACACACACACACACACACACACACACTGTTGCTTTAAAAGCCTCACTGCAAGACAGTTCACAAGTCCCTGGGGGAAATGAAGGTCTGATTACTGAGACTACAGTAGTATAACTACTTAGCTGGGAGAGAGCTCCATAACCTGTGCTGCATCAAGAGTAGATCCATTGCAAATAATGTTCATTCATTTCAATGAGTTGGCTCTGAGCGGAGCTGATACTGGGTATAAACCTACTGGGTCTTACTTCTGAATTGACATGTAAAGGATTGCACTGTATATATGCTAAAGAAGAAACATCATTATACCTGTTGGGTGTGGAGTGGAGAACTGTGGACAGAGAGAAACATATCTACACCATGCATTTAATGCACATTGTACTACTTTAATAGTTCTGGCTTACCCCCTAAAGAATTCTGGGAACTGTAGTTCATTAAGGGTGCTGGGGGAGGTTTAGCTCTTGGGGAGAACTGCACAGGATTATTTGAGGGGAAGCCATTGCTGTTAAAGTGGTATAAATATGCATTAAATGTATGGTGTTGATGAACAAGGGGGAAAGCAGAACAAAGAATAAGCCAAATAGTAGGTCACTGAAAAGAAAAAAAGTGGAAACAAATCCATTAGACCAAGTAACTGTTTTAAATGCAAGTTCTTTTTTAAAAATTTTAAGGCTCTGCAAAAGCCCTTACAGCAAGATATATATTTTTTAAAAGGAAAGAAAAACAAGGGGGAAAGCACCCCTGTCTAACACACATATACCCCCAGCCCACCCCGCAAAAATGTCATGTATAAAAGTCCCTGTCGTTGGCAGCTGCCACATTTTCATTTTGGCAGACGTCTGAAAATTGCTGGCAAGGCCATGGAGTAAGGGTAAAAGACAAATGGTTTGTCATGAAACCTTTAACTAAGCTGATATTTCAGCAGCAAGGATGCCAGCATTTTTCTTTTGTTCCTGCTTTGCAGAATGGACATGACAGCCTCATCAGCATTGTTAATACATTGGCATTACCTGGCAGATTATTCATCTCTGCATCAGTCACTCAAGTGAGTTTCCGAAAGAAAGAAAAAATGACATGCCAGAATCTTCCTCGTGTCTAAGATGCCCTAAAAGATGGAGGAATGAAGTTTTACTGTTATGTAAACGCAAAAACAGATATTAGAGGCCTAATCTGATCTGTTTAACAAGACATTTGCAGTTGTGGTGAAACGCTTTTATAAGCCAATAGTCCATAAAGATCAACAGTTATCTCTGCAGAAACCTATTCAGCAGCAGAGATATTCCTCAGTTCTTTCTTACATATGCTTTCAAGGGATCTGACAAAGTGCAGCAGTGAATGGGGAAGAGACTTGCGCATGTTTACAGATATTTCACCTTGACAGTATCAGAGTCACAATTTATAAAGGTGACTGGAACACCATGGGAGGAAAGCCATTTTTATTTCCTTGCCCCCTCCCTCCCCCCAAAAAAAACCCCATGGAAAGTTTATTATTTATTTCCTCTGCAGGGGAAGAGGCGTAAAGGTGTGGTTTTACATTTTCCTGAAATCTGAAAAGACTTGCTTATCATGATGATCAAATATGATTGAGCCTGGATAGCTCAGCTGGCTAGAGCATGGCGCTGATAATGCCAAGGTTGCAGGTTCAGTTCCTGAATCTGACAGCTGCATATTCCTGCATTGTAGGGGGTTGGACTAAAATAATCAGGCATGGCCAAATTTGGCCCTCCAGCTGTTTTGGGACTACAACTCCCATCTTCCCTAGCTAACAGAACCAGTGGTCAGGGATGATGGGAATTGTAGTCCCCAAACAGCTGGAGGGCCAAGTTTGGCCTGGACTAGATGATTCCCTCAGGCTCCCTCAGGTGGAGTCTCCTTCTTTGGAGGTCTTTAAGCAGAGGCTTGACAACCATATGTCAGGAGTGCTCTGATGGTGTTTCCTGCTTGGCAGGGGGTTGGACTCGATGGCCCTTGTGGTCTCTTCCAACTCTATGATTCTATGATTCTATTCTATGATTCCCTTCCAACTCTACAATTCTATGACAGCACAAAACCTATTAGGCTGCAGTCTAAAGTCCACTCCAGCCCCTGACAAGTCCCCAACCCTCAGCTATGTAAGCCCTGGACTTTGTGCTGTGAAAAGATGCCTAATAATAATAATAATAATAATAATAATAATAATAATAATGGTAGTAGAAACCCATCCCTGCCACTTCCAATCCTGGCCTGAGCAAACCAGCTGCAGGGTCTAGGAAACCAATCCTGGCCTGAGCAAACCAGCTGGGGGCTCTAGCATAGGATCTCACGACTGCAGGATGGTCTGTGAAATGCTGCCTGAATTCAAGATTCTCTTTGAATCTGAGAGAATGGCATTCAAATCTTAATTCCGCCATGGCAGAGTACTCTCTCTCCCAGCCTCAGTTCCACAGCTGTGAAATGAGAATACTAATAACCTCTTTTAAAATGATGATGAATATGCTAAGGGTGATAATCTGTAATTTAAAATGGAAAATTCAGCAATAACAAATAACCAGGTGGCTTTTCATCAGGACTGAACCCTTTAACTGATTCATTGGTTAGATTAATTGATTTTTTTAAACTGTTGTTTGACCAAAAAAAGGTGATTAATAAGGCAACGGGCTTACTTTTCTTTCTTTCTTTTAACTATTATTTTCAACACAAGCACTTATAAACATTGCAGATGAGAAGCACCAAATGGAATTCACCCTATTCTTTCTCACAGAAGGAAATGTCTCTTCTGGTGATGTGCTGAAATATTCTTTGTCATTTATCTCCTTGGCCATCCTCTGCCAAGAAAATAAATTGCATTTGAAAATGCTCAAAGTACAAGTAAAATTATGGAGAAATTCTCATGGGTGAGATGTGGGTGGTTTTGCTTTTGATGTGTTTTTACTTAGGGTGTTTGTTTGTCCTTTTTGCGTTCTATCAAGAATCTCTGCTTTGGTTAGTACTCTGCAGGTTTCCCAGACACCTGTGCTTCCTGAAAACCCAAGGACACTGTCTACTGTGGCCCTCACAGCTGTTCACTTTTATTTTACAAAGCGCAATATTTTTAATTTTAAAATAATCAGTTGAATATTTTTTAAATAAAAAAAATGTAGAAGAAGCTATTTGAAACAAAACCAGCAAGTGTACTGATGATCTCACCATAGCTGTCAACGTTTCCTTTTTAAAGGGAAATTCCCTTATTCCAAATAGGATTCCTCGCAAGAAAAGGGAAAAGTTGACAGCTATGGGATCTCACACATTTAGTAGCCAGTTTTCCATGCTTAAGTTATAAGCCTGGGGGAATACATGGGTAATTCCTCCCATGGGACTTTTTTTTTTTTTTAAATGATATTTATTGGGGGAAAAAAATTTAAATTACACAAAAAAAGACAAGACAGAAAAATAAAAAAATAAAAATAAAACCATCATTCTCAAATTCTCCCCTTTCAATACCTTCTTTCTTTGACCTCCTCCTCCTCCCTTTTCTTGTATCCTGATTAATAATAATCGCAGCAAATCCTTTCCATAATTCATAGTATTCTGTCATTACATTACCTTAATCTATTTTCATCTTATAGAAAACCTTAAAGTTTAAAACTTAAATCTTATTTTTACCAACTTCTCCTAACCATAACATTCTTACCAAATTCTTTAGACATTTTTACAAGAGCCAAGTAATTTCATTTCAACATTTTTCTAGCATTCATCAATTTTATAGAACAATCCTAATGATAATAAAAAAAGAAATAAACAATCCAATCTTCATCCAGCGTCCCTTCCTCCTGGTCCCGGGTTTTGTCAGTCCTTTTTATCCTATTAATCTAGCGCATTAACCTGGTAATCTTATATCCGAGGCCCTCAAGTCTCTTCCATGTCCCTTCCGCAGCTCTTCTTCATATTTTCCTTTCATTCGTGGGAACTCCAGCTTGGTAATATTTTTGACCCTTTTCAACAAATCAGCCCCTTTTCCATAGTCCAGACTAGACTCCATGTGGTATTTAAAAACATGTTTCAGATTCCCTCCAAAATTGAGAGCCCCACAGCTCCAAACATCTGATGGCCCATTGCCAGACTCGAAAAGTCCAAATCTCCCTGTATAGGGGGGTCTGTCCAACCCCCCATTTCCAAACCAAACCAAACTTTATCTTTCCAAGTCTGGTTTTTCCAAGTTCATTTGTCAAATCCAAAAATTTATGTTCCTGCTGGGCCGCAGCTCCCTCCGTCTCTGGCGCCCAAGATTCAGCAGCATCCTCTTCTCTCAGCTGTTCTGTCATGGCACACTCCTGTTTTAGCTCCTGGGTGGGCTCCATATAATTTCCCACTACCTGTTCAAAGGTTCTGGCCGCATTAGTCATCAAATCCGTCTTCTGGCTTAACTGATCCAATAGGGCATTTATTTTGCAGAGAGCACCCAACAGTGCTTCTGAAGACATTGTCCTGCAAGGTCACAAATCCTTTCCCACGGTTGTAATCTGTGGCATCTGCAAGCTCCCAGGAATTGGTTACAATTTCACAGTCCCCCTCTTCTGATTGTTCTTTCTTTTAAAAACAATAGCAACAAAGTTTCTTTTTTAAGGCATTTTGTCCATGTTTGTTCTTTTTAAAATGCGAAAGGAAACAATGGAATCACTATGTTTCTCTTCTTTTAACTATCTGTCAAAGACATTTGTTTCTGGTCAATGAGCTTCAAACGTCAATTCTGACACCCCGCTCCAGGATCAGGACGGTGGAAAATTACTTTGCTTTAAACTCACTACTGCAGGTTTAAACAGCCCAAAAAAGATCCCCCTTCTTCTCCTGCTGCCGAAGGGGGGTTCAGCAATTTTAAATGATGAAAACCAATCCTTTGAAAGTGATTCAGAATCCGTGACCAGGGAGAAGAGTCGGTGGAAGAAGATTGGAAGAAATTCAAAGATTATTTACAGAAATACTGCAAAATTAATGAATGTTAGAGTGATGTTGGATTGAAATTAAATGGTTTCTAGCTATACAGGCTTTAAAGTTATATATAGATTAAGATTAAGGATTAGGAATAATAAGGTTAAAAGAATGGAAAATTGGTTATTAATAGATAAAAATTTAATGTTATATTATATTAAGATTAAGGATTGGGATTAAAAAAGAGGGAAAGGAATTGCTGGACAAATAAACTAAATTGGAATACAAAAGAGGGAGGTATGAGGAGGTCCAGAAAATAAGTAATTTCAAAAGTAGTAATGAAAAGATAGAATTGTTTTTAACTGGTTTTTTTTCTCTTTTTATTTTATTTTTAATTTTGTATTTTGTATTGTGTATTTTTTTTTTACTGTTAAATTCTCTTTTATTGATGTGTTTCTTTTGATCTGAAACTTTAATAAATATCATTTAAAAAAAATGAAAGTGATTTTTAAAGCTCTAGTTTATGTTGTCTTTGCTTTATTCTGGCTACAAGAAAACGGAAGGCTGACTTCCTGTTTAGACCTTACCGTTTCAGTACCAAATTAAGGTAAATTTAAAAGTCCAAATTCCATTCTATTTCGCCAGTTCTTATTTAAAGTCCAAATGTTCAATGTTCCAGTACTCACGGGTGGTTATTTTAGATGCCAAATTGTCCCAGGAAAAAGGCAGCGCTCTCCGGCAACGGCTATGCGGCTTCGCTCCGCAGAAAAAGCAATTGACTCACAGCACCGCGCCACTTCCCCCTCTTCGCTTCGGAGCCCGTTAGTGGGTTCCTTTGCGGGTTGGGGGGGCGCTAAGGGTGCCCACCGAGTCCCACGGTCACAGGCTTCATCCGCCTGTGATTTCCAGAAGGGTCCCCACTTCGCCGTAGCGGAAAAGACCCGTTTCATGCGGAGCTGGTCCCTCCAGTTCAGAGGGAGTCCTCCATTACCGATGGCGCCACCCCGGAAGTCTCCCATGGGACTTTTTCAGATGAGGATGAGATGGTTGGATAGTGTTCTCGAAGCTACCAGCATGAGTTTGACCAAACTGTGGGAGGCAGTGGAAGACAGGAGTGCCTGGCATGCTCTGGTCCATGGGGTCATGAAGAGTTGGACACGACTAAATGACTAAACAACAACAACAACAATCCTGGACAGCCAGGCAGAGCACCTCAGAGCACCGGAGAAAGGTTTAATGGAAAGAAAACCACGCATGCCACCCTCAGCCACCTTCCAATGATAAGTAAGTTCATTTCTGCACCCACCAAAATTCTAAAGAAAGTCTAAAGCAACCTGTGAATGAGGCAGAAAAACACCAGCATTTTTCAAAGTGGGGAAAAAAAACTTTCAAGAAATTGTAGGACAGGAGCACAGCATTAGAGATGAGGGCTTCAATAGCACATCCAAGAACCATTGAGCTCTGTGCTGAATTGTTTCCATTAACATAATAAATTTTAAGTTTGGTGCTTATTGAACATCAGAAACGAACATAACCACCATTTCCCAGCTCCAAGCAATAGATTTCCATAGAGAATTATCAGGCCATTTCAACACTTCCAGGTTCCTTGTACACTCTCATTGTTAACTGTTTCTCAGTTATTCTGTGTAACGAAAACCTCAAGTATTTGTACCCTCACCCTGCTTCAGAGATGTTGTGAATTTTGTAAATTAGAAAATCAGTGTCAAGTTGCCCTTGAAAGTTTGCATATATCAAAAGTTGTCTCCCTTTGTTTGTC